GTGTGTGTGTTTGTGTGTGTGAAATGAAGTAAACTTTTTTAGTCAGCGAGGTGGGTGGAAAAAAACAAAAACGACTGAAACAGTGAGAGCAAAGAAGTGAGCTGGTCAGGGAAAGGAAGCCAGGGATGATGCATGATATGAGAGGAGGACAAATAAAAGGGATGACTCCATGAATGATGCATAGCTTTCTCTCTCCATTATACTCTTCCGGGCAATTTGATTATGCAGGTAAACATGCAAGGCTGTATAAGTGAGAGATGAAATGGGATAGAGCGATAGAGAGGGAGCTGGGATTAGAGGGGGGGGGAGTGGGTGTGTTGCTTTATGCATGAAAATAGATTGGATTGCCTGGTAAGAGGACAAGAGAAGAGTGTTGTCGGAGTCTGCCTGTGTGTGTTTGTGTGTGTGTGTGTGTGTGTGTGCTGCCGATAAGCGGGAGGGGGAGCTGAATTAAGAATGGAGAGGTAAGGCTCAGCGGGAGGCTTTATACACCGAAACGTTGACAGTAGTTTTGAAATACCACTACTCTCATTGTTGCTGCTGTCAGCATGTTTATACTTCACCATCTTGGCCTCATTCAAACGGAAATGAAAGGGCTTTTATGTTGCTGATAAAGGGCAGCCTCTCCTGATGCTCCAGTCTCCTTCTGCCAGCTGCCAGTGGCTGCAATGACTCAGGTTTGAAGTAAAGGGGCATCAGGAGTGAAGAGGGACTCGGGAATAAGCGCTGGAGTGTGCCAGGCTCTGTCTGTCTCCAGCTCTTTAGGTTCTGTCAGTGTCATAGTTTGCAGACATAAGTCAAACCTTGAGAGCTGTTTGTTGAGTAGTCTGTGTGTATGAGAGAGGCATGAAGCGTGTTTGTCTTGTGTTGCTCTCCTTTCCCACCTCGCATGTCTGTTGTCAGCTGTGGGCGATGTGTCTTCTGTGGCTCCGCGTGATAAAGCCATTAATCACATTCTCTGTTTACCACTCACTGCAAGATGTCTCACTCCGTCTGTCCTGGGATGCAGCAGCAGATGCAGCTCACTGGAGTGGAAGGGGAAACGCCCCAGCCTGGTGTTGGTTGGTGTGTGCTTACTGAATATTTTGCGTGACAAAGTAAAAAGTAAAAACCAACATGGTGTCTTAGTAAGGTGTCGGGCACCACATGGCACCAGAACAGCTTCAGTGCACCTTGGCATTGATTCTACAAGTCTCCAGAAGTGTACTGGACGGATGGACACCATTCTTACAAAAGATATTCCTTCATTTGTTGACGATAGTGGAGAGCACTGGCTCACATCGATCCAACATCTCCAATAGGTGGTAAATGTGTTGAGATCTGGTGCAACTTAATATTGATTTGCAGGGACTCTTTCCTCTAAGGCAACAAAAGTCAGCAGCACCAAACCATCGCCACCGCCAAAATCCCTACCAGCATAACAGAGCAACCAGATTCACTCCGCACACAACACACAACACACCACACACACCCACACACACAAATACTCCAGCTCTTCTTGTTGACTCAGACTTCTCCAGCCGGCCGCATCTGTTCAAGTCCCAGTCTCAACCAAACAGACTGGCGTGTCCGTGTGTGTCCAGCAGCTATCAGAGGTCCGGCACGCTACTGCATTTGAAATGAGAGTGATCAATGAGCGCCAGATGCAACAATCAACTCACCTGGTGATGTTCTGAAAAGCCATCTCCACACCTCTCTCTGTCCTGCAGCTAAATGTTAAACACGTGGCCCACCTCCACAGTCATTTAAGTGATTTATCACCAAAAATGCAAAACATTCTCTGGTTCCACCTTTTTAATATAAGAATGTGCATTCCTCAGTTTTGCCATTTTAAATCATCTGAGTTTTGAACTTGAACTAGTTGGATTAAAAAAAGTAATTTGTAGAATCACCTTGGGCTCTGGAGCTCTTGACTTTTTAAATTAATTTTTTTAATTTAGGCCTTTATTCAAAAGTTGACAGTGGATACAGGACAGTAAATGTAGAAAAAGAGGGATGACATGCAACAAAGGCCCTCAGTTGGAATGTTGCGATTGCATCGTATGCGTGTGGTCCATGAGGATTCCCCATTGTATAACATTTTAAATGGTTAATAATAAAAATGTATTGATAAATGAATAGAGTAAAAGCCCCTAAAAAGATTTATCATTAGTCTTTGCTGTCAACATTTGTCTATCATCTGTATAGAAATTCAAGGACACACATACACACACATGCAAATGACTGTTCAGTCAGTGTGAAAGGTAACAGCAGCACATGTTGAAGTCAGGTGCCTTGCAGTATGCAGTGTCACACTTGAGTCCCCACACTAACTAATGTGCTCTTATTTAGCCATCAATCCTCTTTAGCTGATGTCAGCTGGTTTTCCACAGCTCCGTGGCCATACATAAGCAATGAGAGCTTGTCGATCATCTCACATTATGGTCCATTGAGGAAATGGCTGATGGTGACGGGAAGTAAATGTAGTATGTCTAATGTTTCCCCTCACAAGCTATAAGCTTTCCTTGGCAGCTCCTGGACCAGCCTCCGAGCTGTGAACTCAGTCCCTCTGAAGCCGATGGGAGAGGCATTGTTTTAGGTTGCTGGACCACTGTGACCATTATAATGATTCAAAATCACACTCTGAATTTTGAAATCAGTCCCTGGTGTGTGCCACCCCGTCCATTCAGGTTGAGTAGTAAATGGCTTTAGATAGAGGTGCTCTTTCTATTTATTAGTGAATTGTAAAAGTCACACATAATAAATAGAGTTGTGTCAGTGGAAGGATAGCTTTATACCAAAGGTTAGAAACTTTCTAAATGTATAGCCTGGCCTTGCCAAAGACCATGTTATTCCAAAGTAATAGAAATGTAAAAGCTTTGGAGTATCTCATTTATCTTTGTTCCATTCACTTATGCATTTGTACAGTATTGATTTAAGAGTGCTGTCTTTGCAGAATTTCTATGCATCCTCTAATGAAATGCTCTTATTCATGCTCTTTCCTCCTCCTGTCTTTTTTCCCACTACTGTATATCACTCTTTCAATCTCTGCCTGTCACTATTGCTCTACTGTTTCCATCTTCACATACTGTAAGCACCTTTTCACTCTCCAAGCATCAAATACATAGCACACACACACCCACACACACACACACACAACACACACACACACCAGACACACAGGCACCAACACACACACACACACAAAGTCACACACACACACGACACACACACACACACACACCCTTCCTGGCTCTAACTCTGCTTCTTTATTCAATCATCTCTACAGGCTCTTCTGTCTGCTTTCTTTCCTTTAAGTTCTCCCACGCTTTTTCCCAATCTTCACTTTTCTTTAGGTTTCCTCTCTCCTCTACCTGTCACATCTATTCAATTGAGCTTTTCCACACTGTAAACTACTGATGGCAGCTACTGAGCCAAAGTTAAATTGTTTCGCTGTGTCTCCTTTATTCTCTCCCCTCTCCAGACTTGGACTTTCGCTACTTCTGGAAGTGGAGCGTGTTCGAGGACTACCTGCTCTTCTGCTTCGGCTTCACTGTGCTGTGTGCACTTATCACCTTGCTGCTGCTGGACTCTGCTGTGTTTGTGGAGACGCTGGGTTCCCTGGCCGTGATGTTTGAGGCCATGCTGGGTCTCCCACAGCTGCTGCAAAACTTCCACAACCGCTCCACCAAAGGCATGAGGTACAGCACACTTTGAGGTCAAGCGGAGAAAGCTCATAACTCACTGTACTCACACTGGCATACAGCGGCACACTCCCACAGGACTTAAATCATCACATGGAAACTACTCTCATTAACCTTAAGGTTGAGGGAGTTCCAGTAATTTATATTCTCACGAACAAATAATGCTAATAAAGCAATTTATAATCATTGGAGGCTACATGAAGTTTTGGATGAACCTAAACTGAATCTTAAACAATTATCTAACAGTTATCTATCTGTTTCATTGACAGTAAATGTGTTATGATGAATAGTGATACACTAATTTAACTTAAAGATGAATTTTGCATACAATCCCTCCTCTCAGGTCTCAGTAGAAAAAACTGATGATAATACTGCAATCTGCCCCCTAAAATCATTTGAAAGAATCAGCATATCCTCCTCTAAGAAATGTTCTCAATACTGTCAACACATGCCACATTTTAAGGTAATTCCAGAGGTACCCACGTTAAATTCAAGGTCAGTAGGGAGTAGAGAGTGGCAGGAAGGAGGGACAAACAAAAAGCTTAGCTTGCATTAAAAATGTTTATCTTGTTAAGATTATGTCAAAGTGTACAAAGGTCGATGTGTATACTGATTAGCCTCTCAGGTAGAAGAATGTAAGATCAATTGCACCCCTAATGGCACAGAACCTCATACTAATTATGATCATTATTTCCTCATTATGTGTCTTGTCTGTCATCAGTGCAAAATCCATGAATGCAGTGTGCGTGTGTGTAGTGTAGTCACATGGTTTGCTGGTCGGTCACCTGCAAAAAGCCCGTAGAGACAAAACAAAACATTTGACTTTTTCTTCCGAGGACACAACCACCGCCGTTTGTTTTCAGTAGATATCCAGGAAGTATTCAAGTCAGACCTAAATTAACATGCACAGCAGGCAAATATGATGATCCTAAAATTAGGAGCAGTGATGTTAGATGGATTTAGCAACCCTCCCTGGGATTGGGGGTGGTTTTGTTTTCCAGTTCTCAACTCACAATTCATTCATACACAAATGCACAATCACAAAATATATGTGACTAAGTGCTGCAACTATCGATTATTTTCATCATTATTTATTTTTATTTTTTATGATCAAATTATCATTTGGTCTATATTAAATTATATATATATACTATTTTTTCCAAGCAGCCTTAAGATTTTCAGTTTACTGTCATATAACACAGATTAGCTGCATATCCTCCAATTTAGGAGTGTTTACTATTTTAGCTTGAACAAGATTAAGAGTCTATATTAATGCTAGCAGCTCTGTGAGGCTGTACTCGGGCGTTGGTGGTTCTTTGAGCTAAATGCATGTTAACATACTCACAATGACAATGCTAGAATTCTTAAGGAAGTGTAATGTTTACCAGGCTCATTTGTGTTAAGCAGCGCTCCACACAAAGTACAGCTGCAGCTGATGGGAATATCACAAGTTTTGCAGGTACCTGGTTAACCAAATATCGGAAAAATATTTTTTTTAATTTGGTAAATAAAAAGTTAAGAGTTTTTCAGTTTTTCAGTTCATCCTGACCTCGACATGACTGTCAATGTTTTTGGGAAATCCATTCAGTAGCTGTTGAGATATTTCAGCCTGGACCAAAGTGGTGGACAGTGAGGAAGTCTGACATTGCCATCCCTAGAGCCAGGCTGTTGTTGCTGGTGTTATTTTTTTGCTAATGTTGTTTTATATTATGTTTACTTTTTTGTTGATTCCCCAAAGTAAAAGAATACCATAGAAATACTGTACACACAGAAAAAAGAGGAGGTGAGAAGATTCATGATGGTGGTGTGTGTGTTTTTCCCTATGAGAGACAATTCTTTTCACAGCAGAGGTGACAGAGGTGTCATCTACTGTATAGATTCTCCACATGCAGCAGTCTTCACTGTATATCCACCATTCTTCTTCAAGTCCCACTCCGAGTTTTCTTTGGATTAACTGTCACAGTACATTTTATGCTACTCAGTCAAGCTGGCTCATATTTTGCCACACGTGCACTCATAAACACAAGAAATAAGTAATGTAGTAGTGTATGTAAATATGCTGCAATATAGTTGATTTACTGTTTGAATGGCAACGTCCTTCCTTGATAATATGCCCCATTTCACATAAAGTGTCCTCAGGATATACATCTGGGCTAGTACTTCCAGTGAATGTCACGCCAAAGATTAAATACACAATAACACTACATTAGGTCTCCAGGCTGACTGATGAATGAGTTAGCAACATCAATACACTTAACTCAGATCCGTGGCAAAGTCCCAGCATACTCTGTAATGTAATAATATAATACAAGCCACCAAAAAACGATACAGCTGCTGGAAAATACTTCATAATACTCAGTGACTCTTTGTCTTAGGGAATACTGTAATTTCAACATGAATATTTTCCAACCTCACTATCGATCTCTGCAGCCTAATTGGACGAATGACCCTGAGGATCGAAACAGCCCATTCAGCACTTCTGTCTCTACGTGTATAACATGTTTCAGATCGTTTGACCCTGATCACATGTACTTAAGATTCTACCATTTGTTCATTTAAGCTTGAGCAAACTGTTTTCCACATATGATGATGCAGCATGTTGTCTGCACTTCCTCTCATGTCATCCCATGTGAAACTAGTTGTTGTTCAGTCAGATTCCCCCGGAGTCCTATTATGTGTGATTATGAATGTATGGATCCATTTCATCAAGGACGGCTCACCTTTTCCTGGTCGCCCAAATGGACGCATGTTGTGGAAAACCAGAGAGACAGTGTACTCAGTGTAATTATGCTTCCTGGTCATTATTGACACGTTGTATGTGTGCATGTGTGTGCACACACATTCACACTCATACCACTACTCCTGGGAAACCGAGGAAGGGACAGAGTGGTAATGGAAAAATGCAATAAAAGGGACAGTGTGAGAGAGAGCTAGAGAGGCAAGAAGGGTGTGATAGAAAAGGAAGCATATGCAAGAATGTAGAGAAGTCATATTTGAAAATGAGCTCCCTTATTTCTAGCCTCCTTTCTGTACTGGTACTTCAGGGTGCTTTCACACCTAAGCTGTCTGGCTCAAACAAACTCTGGTTTGTTTGGTTTGTTCAGATGGTGTAAATTCTGTCACTCAAACCGTGAAGGAAACAATCTCCTAAGCAATAAATAGGATTATGCTAGATCTGGGGTCGGCAACTTTTTCTATCAAAAGAGACATTTTTGGCCAAGAAAAAAAAAAAAAATGTCTGGAGCCGCAAAACATATTTGAGTATTCTAATGCTAATTTCTCACTGCAAATTAAGTTTATCAGTAAGCCAGCAGCACAGGAATTGTCTGTTTTCTTCCAGGACTTTTATTTCTTTTGGGTCCATAGCTAGAGACTTTTATTTTTTTAAGGGAGACTCAAGACTACTAGACACTGCTGTAGAGGTTTTAACAATTGGATAATGTAAGAATCACTTTAGGCTTACAACAATGATAAATGAAAAAAATTTCAAAAATAAACATTTCAAATTTTCATATTTTATTTTGTCAAAGCCACAGGGAGCCACTGTGAGATGTGTTGAGCTTGTGTTCTCCATGTACTTTGACTGTTACTGAATAAGCAATCATGCAGCAGCAATCCACCAGTACTACAGGTACACATAATATCTGTCCCTGTCATCAGTTTGGGTCTATAACCAGAAAGTTGCCGGCCCCTGAACTGGATACATGGGTGGGGAAAGTGGAAAAGCAGCAGTTGTCTCTCCCACATGGCCACAACTGAGGTGCCCTTGAGCAAAGCCCAAAACACCCAACTGCTCCATTTGAGCTGCTCATCAGATCGCTGTGGCAGCTTCCAACTCACTGTGTGAGTGTGAACAGTGCATTCCTGCATAAGTATTACTCTCGGTGAAACATCACTGAATATATAAAAGGATTAAACACTGAACTCATAATCGATCATTTCTTTGTGAGCTCTGTGACCATCAGAAGATAAAAGCATAGGCGCAGTAAAGTGCAGCATGAGTTAGCTGTCATTCGACTGAGTAAACTGGGTTTGATTTTCCCCCACGGGTTCATGTAGCACTGATAATGCAGGATGACACTTACCAACATAAAGCAAATCAGAGCTTCTTTGTTGTGGACTGAGTGAGCCAAACTACAGGTGTGAAACTGAATGAATTTTCTATTTTGCACATTTAGCCCTCCAGCTAATTTCCATGACCTCATATTATTCCAAAAACACACAGTACTTAGAGTATCACTCGCTGTTTATTCAGAATAAAGCTGTTTCTAGCGATTCATTTAACACTGACTTTATGGAGATGCCAGGCTTTCATCTGACAGCATTTGAAAGCACTGATTGCTCAGGTGGAGCCTACAGTTGAATGCTAAAGTTGTGATTTGTTTATTTGAACAACAATGCGTTTTTAGTGTGTGAGTGATTGCTCAGCGCTCTCTGCTCGGCTGCCTGGGGAGCACGCCTGTTTTCCTCTTCCCTCTCATTAAACTTTATCTATTTTGCCTCCTCTCCAGTTTTCCTCTCTCAGCTCTGCACCAAAGCGTCCAACCTTCACAATGTCACTCAGTGACAGTGGAGGGGACACTGACTGTCTGTCTGCCACACTGACTAAAAAGTATGCAGACAAATACAGCGTCTCAATGGATACGTATCTCTGTTAGTTTCCTTTCCTTAGACAGCTCCTCTGCTGTTCTTCTCTGCCCTTCCTCTTAGTCTTTTTCAATACAATGTGTTGTTCTTTATTGTCATGAATGTCACGAGTAGTCAAGCTACATACATACAGTTGAGTCCAGCAAAGAGAATAAACGCCTGTCACATTATTGTGTGTCGGCTGCACATTCAGCTCCTTGTTACTCTGTTTCGCTCACACCTTCACAACTAGCAGCTTGTTCCTTTCTCTCAGTTCTGTGTAACACCCTTCGAGCACTAATGGTAGCTCTATTGCCATGTCCTTTCAATGGCAGCTTAATGGTGGTTTCACATTTCTCTTGAGGCAGCCA